GCAGGAAGACATGAGGAGATACCACCTGGTTGCCTAGAACAAGGTCTGCCAACCAAAAGAGCAGGGAGGTCTAGGGATAAAGGTACTATGCAAGCACAATGCAGCGCTACTTGGGAAGTGGTGGTGGCCGAACGCCCTTTGGCGTCTTAAAACACAAATATAAGACTCTTTCTGAAAATTGGCTCCCAGGAAGAGCTCAAGTCCATAATACCTCAGGGGCAGAAGTCACTCTTAACAGTCCTATCGTCTTTCAAGAGACACATTAGGTTCCACCCGAAAGAAGGGACGAGAGTTAAATTTTGGAAAGGGACGAGAGTTAAATTTTGGAAGGATTTGTGCTAGGGACTTCCCCTCCCTGTGAGACCTTCCCAACTCTCTTCTCTCTTGCACGAAACCAAGATTCTTCTGTGGCACAGGAGCTCAGCACCTTGGGAGAGCGTAGAGTTTGGAATCCTTCCTTTAGAAGGAGCCTAAACGAAGTCGAGACGGCTGATTTCGAGCGACTACTGAACTCCCTGCACCCTCTCTTCTTCTTTTCACAAGGAAGTGATGAAATCATTTGGACCTTAACCCCCTTGGGCAAATTCTCAGTGGCTTCATTCTACAAAAACCTCTCCTCCTTCCTCCCCCCATCTGAAAACTTCTCAAGAATTTGGTCTACTATTGCACCACCCAAAGTACAGGCCTTCAACTGGCTTGCCTTCTCAAAAAAAGCCCTCACAATTGATCAACTACAAAGAAGAGGGGTGCCCATTCCGAATAGGTGCATTTTGTGTGAATCCGACGAGGAAACAAACTCCCATTTGTTCCTGCTTTGTGCCTTCTCTTCAGATTTATGGGGCAGGGTTTTACAACTTTTTGGCTTACAATGGGTTACCCCGCCCTCGGTAACAGCCCTCCTTACCTTCAATTTTGAATCAAGCTGGCCAAAGGCTGGTAGAATCATGTGGAAAGCGACCTTAGCTGCTACCATTTAGCTACTATGGTTGGAAAGAAACTCCAAAATTTTCGAGGGACTAAGCTGTCAATTTCGGCCATTTTTCAAAAGGTAACCACCCTGGTGACCTTTTGGGCATCCAACATGAGGTTCTTCGCCGGAATTCCTGGATCCTTCTTCCTTTCCCATTGGAGAAATATCCTTCATCACCAACCAGCAGGGGCAGCTAGGCCAAGTCTCTAGTTACCACCGAGCCAAGGTCGCATCAAACTTAATTTTGACGGGTGCTCCTTGGGGAACCCCAGCCCAGCAGGGGCTGGTGGAGTTTTCAGAGACTTTGAAGGCAATATCCTCTTCACCTTCTTCGAACACCTCGGCATCAAGGACTCTAACTATGCGGAAGCCTCAACCCTCCTCCTTGCCCTTAAACAATTCAACTTATCCTGGCGCTCGAGCTTGATAGTGGAGGGTGATTCCAAGAATGTCATTTCTTGGGCCAGTAGGACTTGTGATCCTCCATGGTACTTGATCCAAGTGTTTTACGAAGTTCAACAACTTTGCAGGGCTATGGACGTTTCATGGCAGCATACCAGGCAGATGTCCAACGACTTCGCGGACCAGCTAGCGAAGGAGGGTGCTAGAAGACAGGGCGAGGCAACTCAAACTGGATCCACATTCTTTTGTGCTTTGGACCAGTGAACCCCCTTTTATTTTTTGGGCCTTTTTAGGTTTCCTCGTCATTGTACACCTGAAGGGGGGCAATTTTATAAGCCCTTTCCTAGCCTCTTTTTGTAAATTGTATTTAGGGGGGAAATCCTTTTACTGTATAGGGGTTTTCGATCTTCTTTAACCGGGGGTCCTGTCTAGTGGGTTTGCCCGAAGAAACAATACTTTGTATTTCCCTCTCTTAGCAATACAAATGTTAACATTATCAAAAAAAAAAAAGACAAGAATTTTTTTTGGAATGGAAAAAAGGTTGAGGAGAATATAAGGGGAAAATATTATGGGAAATGGATATGAATGAAGATGGTGGGCACAAAATTCAGATTCCAAATCATATGGGAAAATAAAATAAGTATTTATTTAATTAAGAAATCTAAGATTAACGTAGAAGATGAATAGTGCAATAATAGAATAATTAAATAAAAACAAATATAATATATATATTTGTTTGCAAGGTTTCTTTGAAGGAAAGTTTGAAAAAGAGAAGAGGAGAGAGGAAAACTTTAAATCTGAATAGAGAGAGAGAGGAAAAGAAGAAAACTTTGTAATTGAAGCAAGAGGTAGAGTGACAGTTATGGGAAAAGGTCCCTTGATGTGGGAAAATCCCTTGGTATGATATGTCCCACATTTGGAATGTTTAGAATTTTTCACGGGGCGAAGCTTATAAAAGGGAGAAATGGGTTGCCACAAGGGGTGGCTTGGCCTCATTGTAGGATGGGGCAATTCCTTGGCGCTCGAAGGAGTGGGGTGGTCCACCAAACCACCCCGCTTTTGTATAAAAAAAATTAAAAAACAAAAGAAAGTAAAATGGAATAAAAAAAGTGGGATGCCCAGTTCCTTGAGCGGTTCTTGATAGAATCAGCGAGTTCTGTCAGAGAACCAGTCAGTTCCCAATATTTGACAAGATCCGGATCGGCCTAACCAATTCCTAATCCGGTCTGGATCACAGATTTTTAAAGCATTGATATAAAGTGTTCCCCAAGCAATACATGTCAAGCCACCGAAGCACTCCCAAGGTAAGATCTTAAGCTATTGGTTGATCCTAGGCTTCTGCACTCACGCCCGCTTACGACAATTAGAAAAGAATATGAGAATAAAGAGAAGTCAAGTACAGCAAGAAACCAGCCTTATGCATTTTGTCTTCAGCTATGGGATATCCAACAATTGAGAGAAACCTTAGTTCCGGTAATCAATTTACTCTAAAGTGTTGGAAGTATATTAGTGCAATTTAAAGAGTACTCTTGCCTAATTTTTTAGCAATAGATAGGAGATATTTTTCAATCAGCAATAAAACATAGATATTCAAACTACTTTTCTATTTTCAACAAAATTGGAAGCCAAAATTACCTCTCGGATTGTTCTGAATACCAAAGTGGTACTCGCCCATTGGCCAAGGCAAGTTACTAGAGCGAGTCCAAGTAACTCGCCCAAGTCCATTGTGTTCAAAAAATAAAATAAAAAGAAAAAAACAAACTACATTATATATATATATAGACAGTGATTCATGCAACAGTTGTATTGTAATATAATGCCATAACCTTCAAAAACCATGTTAGGTCATTTGTTTGACCCAAATTTTAAAATATATATATATATATATATAGAGAGAGAGAGAGAGAGATAAATAACACTTATAAACACTTAAGAGCCAATTTCTATATTATTTTGCTCATGGCTCACCACCACCCAAAATCCATAAAGTCACAGTTGTCTGATAGTATTTCAATTTTAATAATTTTTCTATATATCGGATTGACTTGAAATTTGGGACGTGTGTACATCTAACCAACTTGCACATAAATAAAATATTAAAAATAATTATCGAAAAATAAAATGACAAAAATACCCTAAAATATTCATAAATGTAATTTGGTCATTTGTATTGTTTGGATTATTTCTTTTATATTTTATTTAAGTGTGCCTCACTAAAGCCCACAAAATTTCAGTTCAACCTAATTTGTAGAAAAATTATTAAAATTCAAACACTATCAAACAACCATGACTATATGATAGACTTTCGAAGGTCATGAGTCATGAGCGAAATACTGTAGAAATTCACTCATGAGTGCTTTCAAGTGTTTTCCTATATGTGTGTGTGTATGCATATGTGTGTGTGTGTTTGTGTGTGTTGTGTGTGTGTGTATAACATGCTTTTTATATATAGTAATGTTAAAATGGCGCCTTGATTAGATGTTGTCGACTCTTTACAGGAGGTTCGGGGGTCGAACCACCGCATGGACAATATTTTTGAACCCCTATCAAAGACATCTATATGTACTATGGGGTGGTACGATGGTGGTTGAGGGGGCTTGAACCCCAAACATGAGGCCCATAACCTGCAAACACCAGCCAAAAGCCAAATATTATTTGAATTAAATTGAAAATAATACTATTTTTATAACATAATGTAGGGTGTACACCCTACTTGGCCTCGCCAAAAGGGCGAGTTACCGAACATTGCTTTATTGACTTAGAAGCAGCATTTGCAATTTCACCTCCATGGATACAACAGCCTAAACTCTACCAACTCCATGTGTTGTTCTCGAAAGGCTATATATGGACTTGAGAACAAGATTGCAGGCTTGGTTTGGACATATTCTGCAGTTTTGTTGAAAGAATACCGCTTATGGAGTTCTCTAGTGAGGTTACAATTTTAGTTAATCACTCCGAGAGTGGACAGCTATGGTGCTGGTATATATGTGTTTCAAAGTTATACTGGTGGTCACAAAAAGACCTATGTGCTTCAACCATTTAACAGAGCCTCAAAATGTGTGTTTGGCAATGTTTAAAAAGTCGTTGACTCAGGCTCCGAGTCCCCTGAGTCACTCAAACCCAGAAACTGGGTGCGTCTGACCTAAGCCAAACATTTCTGAAATAAATTTTGTTGAGAGTAGGCTGAGTAGAGTGGTCCAGCTCAGCCCTGCCCGAGTCCGGATTTCCAAACAGTGGTATTTGTAATAAAGGATCATATAATACTAAAAAAATTTCCTTCGTATTGAAGTGACCCAATCAAAAGACGTGAGGTTCGGGATCTAGAGATACATCAAAGGGAGTCGCATGCTTGGACAAGAAAAAAAAATCACCTACCATACTTGGGGTGAATGCTTCTTCATTTCATTCTTCTTTTGCCTAACTCATTATACTCACTAACAGTGCTTGAAAGCATACAGTTAGTTTATACTTGAAGTCATGTATTTAAATTCTGGTAATCCATCAAAATACAAATAGCTAATGCTAAGCAAATGCCTCTGATAAATTTAAGGGAAAAACATATAAAAATTAACATCACTTTCCGTGAAACCTAAAGCTTAAGCTCATATTTCAAGTTCATGATACTTACTGTACAAAATTCACAGATGAGGAGAACCGTTCCTTCGCTTGTGCCCATCTTGAATCATCAACAGAGGCTCCATACATGAGCCATAACTGGTCACAAAACTTCAAAAACTTCTCAGAAGACTCAAACAAAGCAACAGGAGCCCCATTATCACTGTCGCTCGCCATTGAAGAACCGTGACTCTCTTCATCAACGGTGTCTTGATTTAGGGCTCTGGCTTTGCTTTTTATAGGATATGAAACCCCAGGCTTCCTTCCCCTCTTCCTCGGGCAGTCTCCTTTGACTGGAGCTTCAGTGTCACCGTTTCCCGCCATTGCAGGAATCTCTTCATCAATGGTGCTTTGAGCTAGGGTTTTGGTTTCACATCTTCTAGGGTGAGAAACGCCAGGCTTCCTTCCCCTCTTCTTAGGGCCGTCTCCTTTAATGGGAACTCCTCTTTCACTGGTACCCGTCACCAAAGAACCTTGAACGTGTCCATCAAAATTCTCAGAAAGCTCGAGCAAAGAAGTAGGAGCGTCATTCTCATTGGTGCCCGCCATTGAAGAACCCCAAATTTCTCCATCAGTGGTGTTTTGATCTAGGGTTACGGCGCTGCTTTGTCTAGGGTTAGAAAGACCAGGCTTTCTTCTCCTCTTCTTTGAGCCGTCTCCTCTGATGGCCGTGGAGCTCCTTGGCATGTCGAGATCTCTGTAAGGTCCGTTTGATAATGCACGGAACGCTAACGGACTCAAGATGGAGCATAAGGCCGTTACAGGTTCGAACTGTGAACTCTGTGCCTTTTATAGTGTCCGCGTTAGGTTTCGATCTTTGGTCGTCATGTTGTAGTTGTGGTTATCTTAACCAATCAGAACCGGTGCTGAATAATAAAAAATAAAAAACTTAAGGTCCTGTTTGAATCAATTAGTAAATCGCCTTTTAATCTGCGATTTTTTAAAAACATCGGCGTTTTTATGGAAACAATTTTAAACGGCGATCATTTGAAAAGGTCGTGAAAAAATCGCATACTTCTCATAAAAACGTTTATAACGTGATTTGTTCATAAGTCGATTTAAATCAGGCCAAAAAATAATATCTTTTTTTACCTGTAAGTTTTTTTCCCCCTCTTTTGTGTATTGCAGCCATTTCTACTTTTATGTTTTTGAAAAAAATTATTATTTCAAAAAAAAACCTAAAATAGAAATTTTTATATCCACTGTGCTCTTGAAAGCCATAGTTGCAGATTTAAAGTGTGAAATTTTTGTCCCTTTTTTTAAAATTTTAACAAAGTTGTTATTATAGAAAATCATTGTGTAAATGAAATAATATTGTTTATAGCAAATCATTTCGTAAAGTAAATCATTGTGTAAAAAAAAATCATGTACATGCAAATTTATGTTATTATTTGTGATAATTGTTTTTATGAAAATAATGTTTATGGCACAAATTAAAGCTCAAAACATAGTACTTTACTGATGAATGAGAAGCAGAGTGTGAATACATTAATTAATATTTTGTTTTTGATTATATGATAATTAAGATAAATAATATAGTGTAAACTATAAACTTACATGAGCAAGCAATCCCCCAAACTGAATCCTCAGCTTTACTTGTTGTTTCCCTAACAAAATAAAAAAGCCGCTTCCTTTTCTCTCTCTAAAAATCAGGTAGGGCCTCTTTACAAATCAAACAATCAGTTAAGCCCTATTCCATTAGGGTTTGTGAAACCGATGAGCTCTTTCTGCGTCCTTCTCTCTCTATAAACCAGCCGATGAACTTCCTCACTTCCCTCTTCTCTCTTCTCTCTATAAACCCTAATGGCTATGGGCCCAACGACTATTTTCTTCTCTTCCTCCATCCTTCTTCTCTCTCTAAATTGTAAACACAAAGATGTGAAGCCCAAATTTCTAGGAACCTATTTTTAATTAAAAAAATTTATAAAACTTTAACCATAGTTATGTAGTGACCATAGTCACCATACTATAGTTAAATCATTGTAATGAGAAAACAAAAATCGTGTACGTTTTTTTGGTACTAGCTAAATAGGTGTGATGTTTTAAGTATTTAATGAATTTATGTAGTATATTTGTCACCATACCATAGTTAAAGTATTTAATGAATAAATTTATATAGTATATTTGTTTTTGGTATATACTAGTTAATTGTGTATTTAATATTAGATGATTGGATGGGAGTCACGAGGCATCTAAATTAATTGACTTAATTATATTAATCTAGTAAAGTTTTTAACGATGAATTAGTTATTGATGGCTTTGACATAAGTTTTATTTTTTAGAATTTTAAAATTTCTAATATTATAAATTTATCCAATTTTTTTACTACGATTTTTTGAGCCTAATCCAATATATTAGCGATATTTTTATATGAAGTATTTTACTGATCCATATTTTGTACCCAATTTTTTCTTCCAACTTTTTAAAATAAAAACAATTTATTTTCGATTTTATGGCGAGCCGATTTCATGTAACTATAGTTTGGATATACTATTTATCACTAATGATCCTTGGTTTCATGTAAATTAGCTCTAGTATAATCATTTATGCGCAGTTTGCAATGTCGTTCTTGGAATTATCTAAAAGTTTTTTAAAGTTTTACTTATAAATTTGCCTTTTAAAAAGAAAATATTTTTGTTACAATTAATCTGTTGAGAATCACTATTTTTGCCAAAAAATGGAACAAAAAAATAATTAGAATTTCCTAAAAAATTAAATAATTAAATAATATTCTATGGACTTAGTTTTTATGCAGCCAAGCCCGCATATGTAGAAATGCAGGCCTCTGAATAAATCTACTTTTGAGATGAATTTTAAGACTTAATTTTTAAAGACATGCAATCTTTAATATGGAGATCATGAATATGAAAAAATAAACTAATTTAAAAAATTTAAAATAATAATTCTAGTAAGAAAACATTTGGACCGTTAGTTTATTTTTAGATGGGACATTAGTTTATTTTTAGATGGGACACCTACTTGCATCCATCTTTAAGATGGATGTTTTACACTTTTTGGATTGCATATGTAGAAATGCGGCCCAGCCTACATGAAACAATTTTCCACATTAATTATATATATATATATATATATATATATATATATGTGTGTGTGTGTGTGTAATATGATCCATAGATCCTCTACTACCATATA